CAAAATTCAGCTGAACTAGCTCTGGTATAGGCTAAGGGTTCCAGGGTCCCAGCGGCACATCCCCACCCAGAAATTCCCAAAGTACCTCCCCCGGGGGTTTACCTGGATTTTAGCATCAAAAATGCTGGCTTCATTTTCGTGGTAGAAATATGCGGCTTCTTTTTGCGTACAATTTCTACAGCTTTAATATATTGTTCTTGAGTTACGTTCTGTACAGAGAAACTGGAAAATGCTCGCAGAAAATTGCTTAAATTTTAAGAAAACGCAGCTATTTTTAATCCTGGAAAGAAATTTGACCGGGGCAGATTTTGATCACATGCCAGGCAACCACTTCTGAGCCGTGAGCACGTGTCACGCAATCAACAAAACAACGCTATAAATTGTAATTTTCGTCAAGCTTCATCTAAACACTTGTATTGATTACCCTTGAGCCTACAATTTACCTTTTCTTCTCAAAATCGTTATCAAAAATTTAGTTGGCAAACGGCCTGCCTGGGTCCTTGCCCATGGGGCAAGCAAGGAGAAAAAGTTTCTTGTCCAAAGGAAAAATCTACTTGTCCCAGACGACCGGAGGGTTTTTTTTCGAGCCCTGCAGATGAGTGAATTATTTTGTCTGCATTTTCATCTGAGTGTACATGTAACATTGAACATATTGATTTGAAAAAACAAACCAATCACTGCTATGTACAGTTTTGATCAAGCATCCATCTGTTAAAATTGAATAAAGCGTTCTCTGGTAAAAATTATTAAAACTATGAGCCTTCGACAGCCAGTCTACTATCTTCGACAGATAACGACAGCACAAAGAATGTGGTATCTTGTCCCCATTGATTTTTAATGGAAAGTTAAGTTTGTAATCACTGCCTTGAGAGGGTTGTTATGTTTCACTATTGGTGAGATACACTGGAAGCTAATAAATGTGGAATTTCATAGCTACTATAAGAGAGCTGTTAATTTCAGGGGTAATGATCATTACTTTTAGAACTTTAACATGCCAATTCAAAAAATTAAGTTGTAAATAATCTTTAATAATATCTTTTAAATCCAGCTTTCTCTATTTCAATACCTCTGCTTTATCACTTGGTTTATTTCCTGCTGCTCCCTGTTCTTGTGAATCAGACACGTCTCTTGAGACAACACATAAAAATTCTGCTTGATCTTCACTGCCATAGTTATAATTACTTCCCACACTTATTAGCTGTAAGGTATAACGAAACAGGTTTTAAATATTATCAGGTCTGATCTAAACAACCTTTGATAATCAGGCTCATTTTCACTTCCAACACTTATTAGCTGTAAGGTAAAAAGAAACATGTTTTAAATATAATTATCAAGTCTGATTTAAAAAGGCCTTTGATCATCTAAGTAACAACAAAGAGAAGCTTGTATTCTGGGGGCAGACAGCAGAATCTGAATGTCAGTTCAGGCGCAGAGCACTCTTTCAACATAGTGGTGTGTGAGAATGTGGCGTTGTGTGCCAGATTTTTTGAGGAGCTTTTGGTTCTTTATCAAACCCTTTCCAGCCCCCTCCCTTCTCCTTCTCTACTGCTTACTGTGTGCCTACACTGTATGACGCTGGTTGACAATAAAGTATTTGTCAATACCCATCAATAAACATACATTAACAGAGGTACATACATTGTGACTCAGCAGGGGCGGATCCAGAATTTTTCTTAGGAGGGGTGCACCACTAAGGAGTGGCATAACTGAGTGTTTTTGCAGAATACCAGTTACATGTATATTACAGTAGAAATCCGTATGCACACCCCCTGCACCCTCCCCATTGACCCACCCCTGCTCAGTGTGTTCAAAGTAAAAATATCTCACCTAAGAACACAACATAATTAACCCGGTTACAGCTTAAACCTGTCAATCGGTTGTTCAGGGATCCAATACAGCAATCTTTAGGGCTCTGTACCTTCTGAACAATGGTATTATTTTCATTCCTAAACTAACCTGTTCAAATCTCCAGCCATCCGACATTGTTGAAACCATCTGGGTAAGTTCATCTTCGTGGCACTGTAACACTCTGTATACATGCTTCTTTGATTGAAGCTGGCAACGAAATACACATGTACAACAGCTATGTTTTTACATACCACATGATTACACAAAACACACCTAATACTGTGCACTTATTCAAACCCCAGTAAGGAAGGTGGCCTACACTCAAGCCTAAGAACTACATGGAACATTATATACATTTTTGTACTAGGATTGCATCTTCAACATTCAAGTAGGAACTGCTCAGTATGGTTGAAGTTGTGGTATTTTTTCGTCTGATTAGCTGCATTAGTTTGGGAGGAAAAAAATTATTTAAATTTCTTGGACCTTATTCACATCTGTAGGTGGGGGAGGGGGGTGCGCTGGGGAGAGGGAGGAGCAAATGATGCCTTAGTATAAAATCTGTGGTCTTGAAAACTTTTGATCCAACCTCAAAATCTTGGAATCCTTTATGATACATCACAAAGTCTCGTTTTAGTGTGTTTCTTCCTGACTCAGAGTCTGTAATCAGTTAAGTCTTGGATTTTCAAACAAGGGTCTCTACATCTTGGCAAGTCTCAAGTTTCATCATTCATAATCCCAAACAGTACCATACTGGAGGTGTTCTCCCTATCCCAGGGGATCACAGACCCACCCAAACATATGCACACGTTAGCGGAAAGGAGAGGTACTCTCCAAATACATAAACTACTGAAAAAAAAGGAACATCTAGGATGTAGTAGTGTTGAATGAATTTCAGGTTAAGGTGATTTTAAACTAGTCTGATTTGTATCTTTCTAAATTTTTTCCAGATCTATTAACACAAAGAAAAACATAAATCAAACAGATCCTTTAAACAAAAAAAAAAACATAACTCAAATTTCATTTTAAATCACATGAAGACCTTTAAATATAAAATTTTTAAACTAGAAAATTTACATAAAACAAAACTTACAGGGAGCTTCTGACGTGCTTCTCTTGACTGTATCCTGTCTTTTATTATTCTAACAAGAGGATCAATATTATAAAATTCTGCTTCCTCTAAAACACCTACAAAAAACAAACAGTGTTTTTAAAACAATGCAAATCAGAAGATTCCCTACTCAAGGTACATGTATGCTGTAGGCAGGTAACAAGGAAGGTCTGTACAGTTTCCATTTCAGCTTGGTAACCCATTCACTGGTGCTTATACATGTACACTGTATCTGGACTCCGTAGAATGAAATATCAAGGAGAATTTTTACTCCTCTCTGGATGGGATGCTTGCCCATTAAAAGGTTATAACCTCTTAGTAGCATTTAATTTGCCAGTACTCATTTACACACCTGTGGATAAACAGATGCATGGTGAGAATAAACTGAGCCAGTTGAATAATGACACAACATGATGACCCTGGTTAGCACTCAAAGTCAAGACAGCTGGTTCTGAGGGTTGATGTCCTAACCAATACAAGTATCACAGAACACTACTACTGTCTACAGGGCAGGGAAAAGAAATTGAAATCCACTTGCCCAGTGGGCCAGTAAAATGCAGTTTTCACTTGCCCCCACTTAAATATTACTTGCCTACGTGGTGGCCAGTAAGGAAATCAGAGGACAACTTATGCGAAAATTTAGAATGCTTGGATTCCTAACTAATCCATGCTTTCAACCTAATGGTTAACTAAACTTCTGACTGGAAATCATCATTTATCAAGCTGACATTTTATTCAGACTCGCAAGACTCCTGAGGCTAATTTCACTTGCCCACCAGGCCGCTGAACTTCTATTTTCACTTGCCCAAGAGCAAAATTTACTTCCCCTTGGAAATCCGACCTGGTTTTTTTCCTGCCCTGTTACTTCACAAGATTACATGTAGATTATGAGCTTGAGGTTTCTATCACCTCATAGAAATCTCTAGCTCATAATCTAATTGTTTGAATAGAATACTTACAGACTAAATTTCCTTCCAATTATTTCTCTACATGTTAAATGTAGCACTAAAGTTCTTTACCAAAATTCTGCACGGATTGAATTCTTGTTTCAAAATGCAGTTGTTCACTTTTACTAATCAGTACACTGGAAATTTTTGAGGTTTAAAAGTCATGCTACAGTCAATTTCCTTTCTTAAGGGTTTCACGGAATTCAATTAACCAGCAAAATTTCTAAATTTTCCTCTGGAACACACAGAAAAGCAAGAAGAGTCACCATTATGTAGACAACCCTTAGCGACTGCATGCTGATGGCTAACAGCGTGCGATAGCTCAGTTATTCAGATTGCAACATTTGCATTAGTATAATAGTAGAATTCTACTACCGGCAATAAATATACAATAAATATACATATAACAACAGTTCTTTTCAGAACTACACTCACCCGGACGATCACACTATACGAACTACTAAATATACATATACATATAAATGTACATTACCAATAATTAAGTGAAAGTAGGAAGCCTATAATTATTATAGGCTTCCCACTTTCACTTAATTCAATCAATCTTGGAAATATGGAGTATCAGCCAGGATTTTTCAAGTTTGGTCAGATTTATTACAGGTACTCCTAACTTTCTAAAACTTTCCAGATCTTAAGCCCCGACCAAACGATCGCAACATGTCAATGCAACGTATCACAACATTGTTGGGAGTAACATGTTGCGTGCATTTGGCCACCGTGTTGCGATGTGTTGTGACATGTTGGGTGTTGTTGGCTCGAATTTGAAAATGGTCAAATTTGAGCCAACAACACCCAACATGTCGCAACACATCACAACACGGCACCCAAACACACGTAACATCCTGCGCCCAACAATGTTGCAACATGTTGCGTTGACATGTTGCAATCGTTTGGCCGGGGCTTTAGTTATTATGATAAATATCTTCAAAAATGTTTTGTAAACTGAACTGTTTTCAGTTTTGCTAAATTTGCAGCAGCTTCTGTTCACCTTCATTAGAGAGAAGAAAGCATTTGCTGTTGTTTGCACTATGTTCATAGAACTTAACAAAATATATGACCATAGTTTTTCTAACAATAAAATTAGTGGAAAAGTCAGAATTCAAGAAAGTCGCCATAATTGAACCAAAATAGCAAAAAAATTGATTGCCTGTAACGTTTCACACGACAAAGCATAACAGCTATGACATGCTGACATACTTTGTGCATGCATGCATGATCGTAAATAGAGCAGTTACGAGCACAGGTTCACTCTCATCTCTCACAGAGCAGAAATAGAAGGGAATCTCTATCTCACAGGGTACGCAAAATGAAATTTGCAAACCTATTACAAAGCCATGCAATACTTTTTAACAATAATTGCGATTCATTTAATATTTGTGACACAATCATTGCAATCCATCAATGAAAAACAGGATTTAGAAATTAGATTTGACTAGTGCCCAAGGTGGTGTGAGTTATGGAAAAAATGCCTTTTTGCTTCTATAACCAATCAACAAGCAGGAGGGGAATGTTCTTCTCCACTGTTTCTGTAGGTAATCAGCCTGAAGTAGTATAAACAGTGTCTGGAAATTTTGGAAATCACATGGATTAGTAGTGTTTTAAATAAAATTTTGAGCAAATATTTCAGTATTTTGGAGGATTTTGCAGAGTTTTAGGAATTGTGCTGTTTATAATTATTGTGCTGGTTTGACCAAATTGTGCAGTCCCGCACCCATGCACTGTCAGAAACCTTGCCTTTGACATGTGGTCTGTTGGCCCAAATAAATGAGTCAAACTATTTTTAAGTGTAAAATCCCTTCTTTAATTAGGTGTCTTGATATTAACTCAACTGATAATTTAAAAAATATATTAACCCAGAGATTTTTCCTTGAAATGTTCTACAGTAGATTCTTCCACCCTGTACGTCTAGCATCAGATGCAAGCTAGTTCCAGGTTACTTGGAGAATATATGAATATGATCCATGTTAGCACGAAGCTAAACTGCTGTCCATATGTGACTGCTGGCTCAAAAGACAAGTCACTGCACATGGTCGCATAAACAGACAGCTCTTTTGCTTAAAACAAGAATGCTGTTGCTTTCCTTCTTAAACCATTCACAGACAATGATGTTAGAGTCAATGAGGCCTGACTATCCATAACATCATTACTATTATAATAATATAATCAACACCCATATGTGTGTATTTGAAAAACTTGTATGTTGGCATCTGGTTTTGTAGTCAAATTATCTCAGCTTTGATAGATTGCTCTTTTTATTCAGAAATAAACTTCTTTAAAAAAACCTTTAATTTTTAACTTCACACAGAGTTTGCTAGCCAGTTGGTGATGCGTGTCACATGAAAAAATATTTTACTTATTGCAACACAAGACCTTCACCATATACCATCACATGAGCTAAGCTTGCTCACAACGCAGCTCAGCATCTTAAAATTAAGCTACCCTGGTGAATAATCCAAACTAAAAATTGGCAAAATATATCAGAAATCGATGATTACGCCTGCTTTATGTTTACGGAATATCTAGTGGGTAATATTGGGGGTATATGCTCTTTTCGAGGCTTCTGTCAAACGTTTGATATCTTCCGATAGTTCAAAACTGTCATGGCGGTGTGCATTGCTAGAAACTGTGCCCCAGAGAAGTGTAAAGGCTACAGGTCAATGTGTTTATGTGCTTCATTCCTTTGCTATGAGTCCTAGATGCAACGACATACACCGGAGCCCTGCTTGAGGTCATATGAAAAGTATAAAACTGCTTCTAGAACCGGATTTTGTTCTCAGCGTTCAGCATGGAGTGTAAAAGTTCGGCAGGCATGAAACACACGAATCTCTTACAAAGGGAAAAATATATATTACTTTGAACAGAATTCCCTGCTTGCAGCAAAGAAACTGGTATCAAACTAGGAAATACATGGTATTCATAACGGCAATTTCCAACGCCAAACGCTCCAACCTGAATGTTTACATAGCAAAATACCTGGGCGAAGTCATCTGTGAAGGAAACAGCTTAAAATCGGCGTTACAACACGTGAAAATTGAACGAACTTACCTTCTTCGAGGAGGTCTTTATCGATTATGAGTTTGCCATGCCGTAAATAGTTTAAAACAGGTCCAAAATAGCGAGGATCCCGATCTATCATATAAGCACCGTTCTCGTCCTGAAATGTCAAAACGTCCAGTGGGTTAGCTGGGTTGAACATTCGACAAAACTTCGAATGAATTCAAGCGCTTTCTTACCTTGTCCGACGGTAAATCTGGATCTTCTGCGCAGAGCCGATGCAAGAAGGAGTTTGGATGTCTACAGAGCGTTTGTTTTGTCGTTAAGAAGTAAGTTCCACCGACGTTTAATTTCACCCAGTTATTACCAGCAGTAGCCATCTTGTACACATCGTGTTATGAAGATGAATTGGCCGAAAGATAATAATTCGGTGAACCGTATTGATTGGTCGGCGACAAAGCTAAAAATAACTTTCTATATTTAGCTCCCGTTAACCTGGACAAATTCACCTGGCTTCCTCGATCTAAATCTGTAAATTTCCTGCACAGAAAAAGCCTTTGCAAAAGAAAGGCTCGCTCACGAGAGCTTCCGATTATTTCCGAAGATTTCCGACAGAGACTCAAAGGGCTTTTTCAAACGCCCACGCAAAATGGAGCGTGGTCTTCAAATGATGCACAGCTGCCAAAAACATAAATTGAGATTCTTCGGGTTTTTCCATCGTATTTGGATTTTCAGCTAGATTATTGACAAATAACATAACTTAGAATTTTCTGTGAATGCTATTATTGCCTTGCGACCGCAGTGAAAGTTTTTGCCTCGAAAAAATTATTTCCCTAAATGCTGAATGCAAATAAGTGGTTCGCTAAACAAGAAATTAATCCATAAGTCAGTCTGCTGGCAAACAAGAGATAACAATTTACATGCGGCACAAGAAAAATGAACAGGGAAAAAAGAAATGGAATTTCTCGGCAGAAAAAAAATGTAGAGAAAACTTCCTGTTTTACCGTTTTCTACACCAAGTTTTTCCCGATCGTCCGCATTAAAAAAATGGAAAAATTAAAAACTATGGCATCCGTCTAAAATCCGATTTAGTATTCATGAAAAAAAAAAAAAAATTAAAAGAGAAGAAAAATTGCAAATATCTTTCGAAACCGAGCATCTGCCACCATCGACAAAGAATGGTTCCTCAGTTCCTTGATAACAAAAAAAATAAATGATTGGCAGGCAAACAAAACAGAAGTTTAAAACATATTGCAACACATATCTTCCGTGTATAAGCTACAAAGCAACAATTTCCAACCTCGAGAAAAATGAACAATAAAATCATCTGAAATGGTTTTTATTGCGGATATGTGGGCGGTGTATGTGCGAGCGTCAGTAACATGTTAATTGAACCTCGCACGCCCTCGATCACTGCTAATCTCTTCTAAGTTCTTAGATTGCACGCCCACTATGTTGGCTTATGATTTTTCTATTTTAGAACACGGGGGAGTGTAATTCTTGTCGTAGTACACCCACTGTTAGCTATCTCTAAACTTGCACTTAACTCGACGAACATCGATTTTTTGCTTTCGAACAAATCGTTTCGCTCCCGCCTTGCTGGAAGGTCCGTATAGTGAAAAACTGTGACCGAGGTCTGCCCGAGACCGCAAGCCGAGGGCAGCATTTTCCAGCCCGAGGTCACAGTTTTTCACCACCAGTATACGGACCGACTCTAAGCCGGCAAATAACATTTTTTTTCCTGCGGTAAATTGGCTTACAAGTGGGTTTGTTTACTCAACTTTGTCATTGAATTGGCTTACGCGCAGTACAAATAATCGTAAAAATCTAGCGAGCGAACGAGCGAGTAACTCAGATCTACTAGCAAAGAAAGATGTATTAAAGAATAGATCTATTTCGATCTACTTTATGTTAGTTGCATCTAGTTGACCAGTTAAGTTCTCCAGAATTGTTTTTCCGGTGTGAAATAAGTTTCGGAAGTTGTACTAAGCACTACTACAAAAACAATTTCTTTATAATCAGTCGTCGCGAATCCCTCGAAATCAGACTTTTCTACCGTAAATTGAGTAGCAGAAAGCGAGGAAATTCGTTAAGTGTATTCCACATAAATTCTCTTAAATATAGCAATGATCAGAAAGGTAAACTCGACTGCAACTGACTTTTCCTTTTTTGAGAAACACGGGATTACGCGCCATTACAGCGACGAGCTACAAACAACCAAACAAACTCAATTTACTTACAGTGACTTTCCTTGCCATTTAAAAGCGAATAGAGATAAACTTGCGTTGATTAATCGTCGATGGAAGTGTGAAAAGGGCAAAGGTTGACCATTAACCGCTAGTTCACTCACGAAAATTGACCAACACGACAATTTCACCCGCGCTGTTTCCCGCCGTTACCGTGACCGTGGTCAGAGATAGGAAAATCCGGAC